TACTAAAAAATCAAAAAAAAAAATTATACAAAAAGTCAAATATTTCATTTATTTTTACTTTTTACTCATTTTTTTAATATAAAAAAGTCAAAAAAATTATCCTATACATACTAGTTTTTTGAGATTTTTTTAATAAATATTCTAAAAATAATAATTTAGAGAATTGATTTACTATTCAAATTACTTTGGAAACTAACTTACTTTTTAAAATTACATTTTGAAAATATAATTTTAAATTAAAATCACGTTTTCAACAACTAAAATGTATTACATTTTCAATTTAAAGATATATTTTTAAAATGTGATTTTAAAAAACAGATTAACTTTTCAAATAATATGAAAAGTGGGTCAATTCTCTATATATTTTTTAAATAATTTTTTACCTCATATTTTATTTTTAAAAAATCTATTCCTAAACCAACTGTTAGTAGGTCTTACGATTTGTTATTACATTTGTAAATTGAAAATAAAAATAGTTTTTTTAAAAAAATTAACTAAAAAGTGAAAACCAAAGAAATCATAAAGTTGCGGGACACAAGAAGAGCAATAAATAGCCCACAAGCTACCAGTAATGCTACGTACAAAGAAGATTAACGAACGTTTTGAGAAATTGGTAAAAAATTAATTTTTTAATTTTTTTGGCAAAAAATTAGGTTCTTTTGAATAAAAAAATTAGTTTTTTTTGTCTAAAAAAGTTTAAAAAATTGATTTTTTTAACTTGTTGTCAAAATGCTCCTAAATACATAATTAAGATTTTGTTAGGAATAAATTAAAAAAAAATTAAAAAGTCAAAAAATTAGTAAAAAAATTAAAAAATCTATACTATTTAAGGATAGTTTGTGAGAGAAGTCACTAGGGCAAAATTATTATTTTGCACTTTGAATTCAACTACTCAAAAGTCAAAAAATTAAAAGTCAAAAGAGTGAAATGGTCATTTTGATTTTACTATAATATTTTATTACATATCTTTTCGTAAAAAATCAAAAAATTATCTCAAACATTTATATTTTTTCTCTACTTTTTAAACTAAAAATTCAAAAAGTACACTCATATAGCACATCTCAAACAACTACTAAGGTCTTGTTTGTCATAACTTAAAAAAGTTAAAAAGTCAAAAAGTAAAAAAGTCACTATCCTATTTAAGTTATATCATCTTATTTAAGTCACATCTCTCTACTACATCGTTTTAAACTCAACCCATATTTCATAAAAAGTCAAAAAGTACATTTATTTAGATCATCATAAACCACTCTCTAAACGTAAAAAAATTTCATGTAAATGACTAGTAAGATGATTGAGTGGTCGATCTATCAGAGCTTGTTGATTATGGCTATCATTTTGTCAATCATAATTGTCATCTTGTTGATCATGATTATCATTTTGTCAAACACGACTATCATTTTGTCGATCACTATCATATTGTCATTCAATCCACCGTCCAATAATTTAGATAAATAAGTTTTGTTTTTATTTTTATATTTGATCTAGAGTGTGCGAGGCATTATTACACACGCTACACTTCATCCGGTCCACAAAAGTGAGGGTTGGTTCGGTATCCCCTAAATAATCCATCTTATTATCTTTTTATTTTTTTTTATCATATCACTTATCTATTTTTTTACACATCTTTTTGTAAAAAAATAAAAAATATATTTATTTAGATCATTCCAAACAACCCTGAAGGTCCGTTTGGGAAGGGCTAATTTGGCTATTTTAGTCACAAAAAACAAAATAGACTATTTTACCCACAAAAAATAAAACATCACATCTAATCCATAATCATTATACTTTTCTCTTACAAAAAAAAATTAAAAAAATAAAAAAGTTAAAAAATCCTTTCTAAATTAAACTTTTTAACTTAAATTAAAATAATTAAAAAAATAAAAAAAATAAAAAAATCATCTCACTTCCTAAACAGTTTCCAAAAGAACGCAGCGCCTGTAAACGGAATTCCCATGCTCTGTCATTTCCGGAAACGATCTTTCGTACCTCCCACTACGTGTCACAATCACACCAATCTCCTCCCGACAGGTGTCCACCAAGATGCTTCTGCGCCTCTTAACAGTTAGACGTCGCTTTCAAAAGAAAGGACTTTCTTAGACTACTGAGAGACCCATGAGAGAGAAAGAGAAAGATGAGAGAGAGAGAGAGGGACAAGTCGGCGGCTGCCGGCGGGTCGATGTCGTCTTCGCGCGGCTGCTTTTTTGTCCCCCCGCAGGTTTCCACTGTCTCTTCGCTTCGTCGGCGCCTCTTTTAATGTGCCCTTCCCCAAAAAGCAAGTCTGTGTCATCGCGCTTTAATCTTCGAGCGGTTCTTTAATGATCTGCTGCGATCGTGGCCGTTGGATGTCAGAATGGTTTGTTGGGAGATGTGTTCGGGGTTTAAAGGGTGGAGTTGGATAAACCTTTGTTAAACTGTGGTGGACTGATCATTGGCATTGGCCCCGACATCTTACTGTTGCTTCATGCGAATTGTATAGCCGTACGTTTTATGTGAAAGGACTGTTTTGCCCCTATGTGTTGGAATAATTACTGTTTTATGCCCTCAATAGTTCCAAACCCCAAAAAAAAGAGAGAACTAGGATTGCATCAAAACTGAGCTAAAAAGTTGTTTGAAAAATTAAAAAAACTGTTTTAAAATTAATACAAATTTTATTTTGAGTCATGCTAACGAACAAATTTTATATTGAGTCATGCTAATTATAATTGAATGTATTGTTTATAAAAAAAAAATAAAATGTGAAAGAATGTTCTTAATATGTATTTCTATAACACATGTTAAAAATATTTAAAAAGATTATTGTAGTATATTTTTTTAGCTTGCTTATTTTCATAAAATATATAATTTTTTAAAGAATAATACTATATGTACTAATTGATATACCAATTAGTATATTAATCAATGATGTGATATAATTTTAAAGATTTTGAGTACTTATAATTTATATAATGAGTGTGATCAGTAATAATAATATAATTTCGTACATTAGTTGGTATACCAATTAGTGTATATAGTATCACTGTTTTTTAAATTTATAAACATATGTTTGGACACACCTTAACAAAATCTTAAATATTTAATACATTCTAAAAATTGGCATTCTTATAACTCAATCGCATTAGTCAGCTGATAATTTATTTTTTTAAAAAAAATAATTCTCGAAACATATAAACAAATCATAGAACAGGACACAACCATATCAATTGAGTTGAATCACATCCTTTTATGGGTCTTAAACTCATAAGAGAAGTGTGTTTAATTATGTAATTAATTTTTATACAAATAGAAAAATTATTTTATTTAAAAGAAATTAATGAACAAAGAAGAAGAAGGTGAAATTTTAGAAAAAAAAAAAAGTTTTATTTGTTATAAGCCTTAATATTATTATGGCTTATTTTAAAAAGTAGGTTAAGTTAACTTTTTAATTTTCTTGGACTTAAAAAAAATATATTTAAAAAAATAAAAAAGTGATATAACTCAAAAAAATAAAAAGACTAAAAAATTGACTTTGAGCCGTGTTACTAAAATAAGCCTATATCATGGTGAATGACGACATGAATTGTAGTTAATCTAAAAAAAATTTAGGCAAACTTAGAAATTGTGCATTCGATTATCTGACTGGACGACCTGCTAAAGCTTGTCGATCGCAATTGTTATGGTATTGACCGCGACTATCATAATGTCTGCCAATTATTTGAACAGTCGTTCGATAGAATAATTTTTATGTTTGATCCTATATTTGGTCATTTGGATATATGTACCATTATTAATCAAACAACACATGCAAAATGATGATATATTTAGCAACTGGCACAATTTCTACCACTACATTTATCTCTCTATCACTTCATGCCATATCATATTTCACAAGCTCACCTTATCATTTTTTTTAGATTGAAAACTCACCCGATCATTATTAGGCCTCGTTTGGGAAGTGGCTATTTTAGTAGGTTATTTTAGTTTTTGGCTAAAATTTTTGTGTTTGGGAAGATGATTAGATTTTTTTGTGGTTGGATGTGATGTTTGTGAGAGAAAAAGTGAAATGATTATGAGTTTGATGTGATATTTTGTCTTATTAGCTATTTTAGCCTATTTTGTCTTTTTGTGATTTTTAGCCTAAATTTGGCTTTTTTTTTTCTTCCCAAACACCCCCTTAGTATCAAATCAGAATTTTGGCTAAGTTTGGCATCTCTTAAAAAAAGTCAAAAACTTCAAAAATTACTTAAAAAGTTATTCACTCAAAAAAAATATTAAAAAATTAATTTTTTACACATCAATTCACACAACTGTACAACTCATCAATTGACATGTGAAGCTTTGTGATGCATTTGAAAGGAAAAATTGCACAATTTGGTGCAATTTTCACACGCTGCTATTCGGCCCATGGCGGCCCATCACAGGTCCCGTTTTGATAATCTGAACCATTTTATGTGTAGAACTCGTCGAGTCCTATATGTCTATGAAAAATCACATTGATCGGATATCGATAACTATATGATCAAATTAGTTTTGTATAAAAAAATGGATGGTGTTATAATTAACGATTGAAATAAAACACATCTGATCAGATAGCTATCGATATCCGATCAACGTGATGTTTTGTTAGCATATAGTGCTCGATGAGTTCTAAGTATTAAACGGTTCAGATTATCAAAATAAGACCTGTGATGGCCCTCACGGGCCGAACAAAACTGTCAAGTTCAATGCCCGAAAATTAGCCAATAATTTCTTACCATCAATTCGACCCTTAGATTGTACGGCTATTGACTTTTCATTTCTAATCTTCTCCTACACACTTCTTTATACAATTTTTTAATACATATTTTTTCATAAAAAGTCAAAAAATTAACCTAAGTATCCATATTTTTTTCCTCAATTTTTTAATCTAAAAAGATAAAAAGTGCACTTATTTAGAACACCCCAAACAACTCCTATTACAAAGCAAGCCCATTTTGGTCATTTCACTTTTTTCCAGAGCTAACAAGAAAGCCAGCAAAATCTCTGCAAAGGACCTTGTGTCCTCTCCTCTCCTGTCTTCTCTTTCATCTTTCACGCCAAACTCTCTCTCTCTCTCTAAAACCCTGTTTTAGGGTTTTTCTATATAGCCTCAGAACTTGTTATTGTCCACCTCTCTCCAATGGCTCTCTCTTCTTCTTCTTCTCAACCACTCCCTGTTCTCACTATCCTCCTCATCTTCTTCTCCATTGTTGGCTATTCACAACCCGTTCTCAACTCGGACGAGCAAGAATCGGTGTACCGAGTCCTCGAATCCATCAACTCGGACATCCCATGGCGGACTCTCTTCCCCGACGACCTCTGCTCCTCCGCCCCACACGGCGTCGTCTGCGACTTCTTCGATTCCGCCACCGAAACCGAGACATTGCACGTCTCGGAGTTGAGTTTCGGCTACGTCTCGGACTACTCTCCGAACCCACCATGCACACCCACCTCCACCATTAACGACCACCTCTTCTCTTCCTTCAAACACCTCAGAAAACTCTTCTTCTATAGATGTTTCACCGATTCACAAGTCTATGTTCCCGATTTCTCCACCTTCGGAGCTTCTTTGGAAGAGCTTTTGTTCATTGAAAGCCCATCTTTGATTGGTTCTCTCGATGGAAAACTTGGAAACTTGACGAATTTGAAGAAGTTGGTTCTCACAGGAACGAATGTCTTTGGTGAAATCCCAGATGGGTTGGGAGATTTAACCAATCTCGAACAGGTCACACTTTCCAGAAACAATTTCAGCGGCGAAGTGTCTCTAAATCTAGCGAAATTGATGAAACTGAAGCTTCTCGATCTTAGCCAAAATAGGTTTGAAGGAAATGTCCCGGAATCAATCGGAGGACCAACAGAGCTTCTGAAGATCGACCTCAGTTCGAATAGATTTTCCGGGAAAATCCCAGAAAGCTTGAAGAATCTGAGGAATTTGGAGTTTCTAGACCTGGGTTATAATCGATTTGCCAATTTCGGAATCCCTGTGTTCTTATCAGAGATGCCCAGTTTGAAAGAGGTTTATCTGAGTGGGAACTATCTTGGAGGGCAGATTCCGGAAATTTGGGAAAATCTCAGGGGCATAATCGGAATAGGATTGTCCAATACAGGACTTGTTGGTAATATTCCAACTTCCATGGGGGTATTTTTGAGAAAAGCTTGTTATATAGGGCTTGATAACAATGGGCTTGAAGGGACAGTGCCAGAGGAGTTTGGGAGATTGGAGTCTGTGAATGAGATGAATTTGGAGAACAACAAATTGAAGGGTAGGCTTCCATTTTCAGTCAAATTTGCAGCTAAGATGGGGAAGAAGCTGAAATTGCAAGGTAACCCAGAACTTTGTGTTGATGAGGGTTTAAGGTCTGCTAAAATCGGGGGCAGTTTGGGGAATTTGAAGGTGTGCAACAATCCACAACATGTTCCAAGTCCAGTCCCATTCCTTGGGGGCAATTCTGTCATTCAAGCTTCTCATCTGTTGATGTTTCTAGGGTTTTTGTTCCTCTTACTTTGGTAGTAGGATAGAGATAGATAAGAGAGAGTAGAGAGAGAAAGAGAGAGAAAGAAACAGGGGAAACATAACATTATACTGCCGACTAGGTTGGACATTTTTTTTTAAGGTTTTAGTAATTGTAGTTTGGAAACTTAGGATGGGGGCAAAATGTAATTAGGAGTTTCTATCAATGACAAATGCATATGTTTGTTTCCATTTATGGTTTGTTTACCCTAATTTGAAGTTGCCAAATTGTTGGATTAAGGGACTGAAATGGTTAATAGTTGGTTGTTGGGTTGCTAGAATTGTTTTTTGGTTCCTTACTTTTTGTTGTACATTTTATAATTGCTCTATTTGAATGTAATATTTTTATTTTTTCAAGTTTTATTGATTAATTTTTCTTCTTTTGCACACACATGACATTTATCTTTCGTCATACTCAGGTTAAACTCACATTAAGTGTTTAATTCCAAAATTAATGGGAGACAAATTTAAAGAGTTTTTTCAATAACCTAATTCCCCTCCCGAGAAAAGTTAGGGATCATGAAATTTTTTTCATGAAAATGATCATGAAAGATTTATGATTCTTGGATTACCTTGATTAGTGTGTGTTGTTTTATCCTAAGTGTAATCCAATGGTCACAAAGCTTTCATGATTACTTTCATGAAATATTTTTCATGATACTTAGTATTGCTTTCTCCTCCCCCCTCCCTTTTTTGCAAGTCAATTAAATGCATCACTACACTATGGCGCTGTTTGGGAAGAAATGTTTTTGGTTTTTTTCCATTAAAAGACAAATTGGTTAGAAAATAAAATAAAATAAATCCAAAAAAAATATTACATCAAATTCTATAATCATTTCACTTTTTCTCTCACAAATATCACATCTAGCTACAAAAAATCTAACTATCTCCCAAACATAAAAAAAAAAATCTCTAATAATATCCTACGACTAAAAAAATTACAAAAAAAAATCTACTTGCCAGACCTCCACTATAAATCCTAAGCTTTTTTAGAAGAATATAAACAAACAACAAAAAGTCAAAATTTGAAATACAAAATGAGACTCAATTCAAGGGTTTGGTTATGGTGTGCAACTTACACCTTACACCTTATACCTTACACTTACACCTTACACTTACACCTTTTGTAAAAAATTAAACCTTACACTTACACCTTTTTTGAGGTTGCACACCATGTGCAACCCACTTACACCTTACACCTTACACTTACACCTTACACTTACACCTTATACTTACAGTTTTTGTAAAAAATTAAACCTTACACTTACACATTTTTTGAGGTTGCACACCATGTGCAACCCACTTACACCTTACACCTTACACTTACACCTTACACTTACACCTTATACTTACAGTTTTTGTAAAACATTAAAAGACAAATTGGTTAGAAAATAAAAAAAAAATAAATCCAAAAAAAATATTACATCAAATTCTATAATCATTTCACTTTTTCTCTCATAATATCACATCTAGCTACAAAAAAATCTAACTATCTCCCAAACATAAAAAAAAATTCTCTAATAATATCCTACAATTAAAAAAATTACAAAAAAAAATCTACTTCCCAACATCCACTATAAATCCTAAGCTTTTTCAGAAGAATATAAACAAACAACAAAAAGTCAAAATTTGAAATTCAAAATGAGACTCAATTTACATGACAAGTGTTGTATCAGTATGTAAAAATTGTTTCTTTGTATAACACCATCCATAGGCCCGTTTGTTTTCAGAGATAGAATAGAAGGGATTAATAGTGTGAAAATTAATAATGAAGAGATTGTTCGTGAGGGGATTAAGTAAAATTGTATTTGTTTTAATGATAGTTGTTAGTGTAGGAATTGTTAAATTAGTTTTATATAAAATAATAAAACAAATAAAAAAATATAAAACATTAAACATTAATATTTATAAAAAAAAATTCCAATATATAAAAAATAAAAAAAAATTCTAATCCCCTCACTATTTTTCTAATACCATCTCCCCAACCTCTATCTCAATTCCCTCCCCAACCTCCATCTATATCACCTCCACCATCCTAATCTCCTCCCCAATTCTATAAACAAATACAACACTAAATAACACCTTCACATCCTAATCTCTTTCCATCTACATAACCCAAAACAAACGGGCCCATAATTATTAAGGCTACGTTATATAATGTATTAAATTCACGTCAATTTCCATCAAGAATGACTAATATAGTTTGAGAAGATAGTTTGAACTAATTTAATTTAATTTATTAAAAGATAAAATAAATTAAAAATTAATAAAATAAAATATCATATCAAATTATAATTATTGGTTACTGTAATTATTCAAACCACAGGGAAGGTCCCTGTATTTGTCAGAAACCTCAGGGGAGATAAATGTAATTTACCCTTATTTTATTTAGCTAAAAAAAACTATAAAAAAGGTCAAATATTCATTCAAAACGGAATTTTTTAGCTAAATTAAAATAATAAAAAAATGGGATTAAACAAGTTCCTTCCGAACGAAGGCTTATCGTTGCCCACTTGCCTATGATGAAAAATGGGTTGGGTAGTTTGGAATCGGGTACAAATTGGTACGGTTTGGGCCTATGCGGCCACCACGGGTCTAATTTTGATAATTTAAACCGTACAATGTTTAGGGCTCGTCGAATATTTCATTTCTGCAAAAAATCACATTAATTAGATATGGATAGACATTTGATTGGGACACATTTTTGTTAACAATTTATTTTTAAAATCATATTTATCATCGATAAAAATATGATTTGATCAAATGACTATCGATATTTGATCAACCCAATTTTTTGTATGAATCAAATATTTGACAAGCTCTACATATTAGGCGATTCAGATTATCAAAATTAGACTTATGGTGAGCCCACGAATCTAACAATATGTTCTAATTCGATTTTAGACCGGAGACCAGTCTCATCCTTTGGAATAAGATCCTTTGCCTCATAAGAAGATAGTGAAAAGTTTGGAATGTGATCTTTAATTTTATTGGAAGTATGTATTTCATGTTTATAATAATAAGATTTAATTTTTAAAACTATAAACTAATTAAATATTAAATCATTTGCTTATGAGTACAACATTACTACCCATATGTTTAAGTCTACCCACATTTGAAATGAATGCTAGTTTCAAATCATTAAGATAAATAGAGTGGATGGATTATACAAGTGGAAATTTTTATTTCCATTAAATTAAAAAGGATTTTCTTTTCAAAGTTTGTTTCAACTAAGCAAGTCTCTCTAGCTACTGCAACACAAGGCACCAACTTTTCAAGAAATCCCATTACATTCCTTATCTCTCTCTTTCTCGAGAGGTTTTGAACTTGAACTTTGACTAAGAAACTCATTGCTGATGGATCTGGATTGGGATTCAGAATCTGGTTCAGTATCCAACGGTAGAGATGTGTTCCCACTAGAAGCATTGGCTTTTGACCTAGATGATCTTGATGAGCCGCCCACCGATTCCTTTGATTTCTTTCGATGTGATTTCTTTGGGAGGTCAGATGCATTTTGCGAAGATGAATCTGATGCAACACCTTTATCCTTGGGTTGTCGACTCGATTTAGAACTGTTGGATGAATGTTTTCTCGACTGTCTTGATTTGGTAGATTCTGATGTACTGTCTACTGAAGTAAATGGCTTGGATGATTTTGGCAATTCAGGCATGTCTTGAGATGTAGATTTTTTAGATCGTAAACTTCTTCGATTTGAATCTACAAAGCATCAGACAAAAAGATTTCATAACAACTATATTATAAATATACAAATTTGTGGCATTATAGTGCCTAAATATTTTAGTGTGTTTTATGAAATCAACGCTTTTCGTATGAATTTTTTTTATATATACATAAAAGTAAAATTGATTCGGAAAACTTATTTGATAATCTTTCTAAAAACTATATTTTGAGAAAGTTTTATAAAAACACCAAACTTTTTAAGCTATACTTTTACATGGGTTTTAAAATTTTTGAAACCTGCTTTCACACACAATGAAAACAATATAAAAAAATGGGTGTTTATTGAGAGGGAGATTTGTGTTGAACAGTGGGCCGAGCTACACCAACGCAGACATGCGTTGGGCCGTGGAGGGAGAACCCAGGGCGCATTGTTGGGCCAAGTCGGACCCACACGGAACGTGGCGTTGGCCTGAGCTGGACCCACACTGAATGTTGCATCGCGTCAAACCCAGTCGGGCTAGATCGAGTCAGTGGGCAGAATTGCCCTAGCACTTGGGTTTTGGGCAGCTGGACCACGTGACAACCGAGCTGTAGATGGCTCGAGCTGCGATTGTGGAGACAGAGATGGTCTATGAGATCACGGTCAGTGACCGAGGTGTCGAATGATGTGCCCACCTCCAGTCAGTTATGATGGACCGGTTAGAATTCAACTCGGCACGAAACAACCAATGCAATGTTAGTAGTTCACAAGTAACAGCTTGGTCAAGCATCCCACGTGGACTAATAAAGAGAAGAGAGAAATCCACTCCTGGTATGCGTCAATATCGTTTGGCGGTGCGACAAACACTGTTTGGAGGTTTTGGTCTCTACACGTATAAGAAATGTAGAGGGGAGCACAGCCTCCTGTCCAGTGAAGGACAGCAGAGGTAGTGCGCCCATAATTTCTAAGGCTGCATGTCCAACCTTGAAAATGAGGAGCATGCAGACATTGGAGGCAGGTAATTTCTCTCTCTCTCTCTCTCTACAGTGCTCTATCTTCTCTCTTCTCTCCTAGTGAGCTAACTTGACCGTCGGAGGGGTTTTTCGGCAAATCCACCCCCCGGGTAGCACACCTTTGTTTTATTCATAGTACGACGGAGTTCCAGCGAAGTGAAACGAGCTTGGAAGCAAAGAGTTACGGAGCGAGGCAGATATTTCTCTCCCGTACAATTGGCGTCATCTGTGGGAAGTTCTTCGACGGACAAACCTTGTTCTACAAGTTTTTTCGACTGTTTTCCATGGCGAACATCGACGAAACACTGCTGTCCATCGTCGATGAAATCACTTCAGAGTCAATCCGGAGAAGAGATGGCCTTCACGCCATTCCGACAATGGCAGGTCTAGAGATTTCCTCTAGAGGGCTACCTAAAGATGCGCGAGACAAACATGCAAAAAGCATTGATCATTCGCAGAGTCCTGAGGAGCGTCGGTGGCGAGGAGAGTCGCATGCTCAGCACCTAAAGCACAAACTCAAAGACCAGGACGCCCTCATTTGGAAGATGGCGGCTGAGATAGAGACGTTGAAGCAACAAATCAAAGGAAAGGGTATTGCTGGAGTAGGAAATCACAGTGAACGCACCTAACCCCGTCGCTTAGGCAGCCAGTACCAATGGAAGACACCCTTCCTCTCTATCATTAGGAGCTACGATGTTGGCGATTCCGACCCACCGATAGAGAGATCGTGCATGCGCGACAGCAGCTACCGTCCTTCACGTCCCTCGACGACATCGAGATATCCTTATTCCGCTCGTTCAGAGGACCTAAGGGACGTCTTGGGGAAACGTGCATGTCGAAGAGAGGCCCGAAGAATACCGGCGCTACAGAGGCTAAGTCCCAGAATCCATTGTAGTGAGGAAGTGGCCATGCTGCTGCCTAGAGTGGTGGCTCTAGAGCCGGTGGACAGAGACTTGGTAAGACTCACCACCACCTCGCTATCTCTAGAGATTGAAAGCCATCAACCTAAGTTCACATTATACGATGGCAAGACGGATCCGTACATGTACGTTAGTCATTACCAGCAAGTAATGGCAGGTCATCGGTGTAACAACGCCTTGATATGTCTTATATTTCCAGCGAATTTGGGAGAATTGGGCTTGAAATAGTTTGAGCGGCTCCCGGAGGGGAGTATTAAGGGGTGGTAACAGCTAGCGGAAGCCTTCGTTACCAGATTCAAAACCAATACTCGCACACCGAAGACGGTCGACCACCTCTTGGGTATTAAAATGGAGTTAGGCAGATCGTTGAAGGCATACAATGCCAAGTTTTAGAAGACATATACAATGAGATCCTCGATTGCCCCACAAACTTGGCAATTGCCTAATACAAGCGAGGTTTACCAGTCGAACATAGGCTTCAGGACTCGCTTACGATGCACCAGCCCAAGACCATGGAGTCACTAATGTAACGAATTAACGAGCACATCTGAGTTAAGGATGATGCCGCCACCGTCACCGCAACCGCAACCGAGAAGGCAAATCCAGTTGTGGCGGACAAACACATGGCAGGGAAGGTTCACTCGGTTAGACAGGAGGATAACCACCACAATAACCGAGCTAGAGAACAACATCGCGGTGCTGGCCGCAATGACAGAAATAAAGGCCGTGGGAATCACCAGGCTAATGCTCCACGCAACGAGGAAGAAAATGCCAAAAGAAAGTTGAAGGTACGGACTAGCATCACAACGATCTTCAAAATCCCTATTTATCATATCCTTAGCGAGATCAGAGGTGAGCCATATGTCCGATGGCCAGCAAAATTGGGGGACGCGCAAAGGGGCTTTAATTCACGATACCGCTGTACTTTCCATGAAGAAAAGGGGCACCGAATGGAGGACTGCGTGCCACTGAAATAGCACTTGGAAGAGCTGGTCATAGTGGGACATTTAGCCAGTATATTGACAGCGGCATGAGGGTCGCCTCACAGGGACAAGACGAGCCAAATAGGCTCGCCATCTTGGATGCTGTACCCCAAGGAGTCATCAATGTTATTCACGGTATCATCAAGCCAGCGCGAGTGTACGAGCTCAGGGGGATGATCAAGAAAGCTGAGCATTTGAGGAAAGTGCTCTCTATTTAGCCTACCGTGAAAAAGGAGAAGACCGAGATGAAAGACATCATGACCTTTTCAAGCAAGGACTTAGACATAATTCAAACCCCTCATAACGATGCCTTGGTTGTCACACTTCACATCAAGGACTTCAACATCAAGAGAATACTGATCGACTAGGGGAGTTTGGTCGGGATCATGTACTATGATGCATTCAAGCAGATGAAGTTGAAGGACAAGGACTTGGCCCCAGCGACATCTCCTTTGGTTGGCTTCAACTCTCAATCGAAATGGCCGATCGGGAATATCATATTGCCGGTCTAGGTCGGTCATGAAGCAAGTGAAGTTTTGGGTGCTGAAGGTCCTATCGACCTACAATCTGATCTTAGGAAGAGGTTGGTTACACGCCATGCAAGCAGTGGCGTCAACCTATCACCAAGTCATGCACTTCCCTGGCCCAGTAGGGCAAATAAAAGAAGTATAGGGGGACCAAGTCATGTTGAAACAATGCGTTGTCACCTTCAATGGCACCAAGGCAGCGAAGAGATTCGTCTAGATGATAGAAGGACCAAAAGGCAAGAAAGTCTTGGAGGACGTGGAAAGAAAAGCAGAGGAGAAATCGGTAGAAGACTTGGTAAAAGTTCACGTTGACGAGAATGATCCGAACAAGTTCTTTCTCTTGGGCTCATCTTTGTCCAGCGTCGAGCGGCTGGATTATGTAAATTTTTTGGTCTCTAACTGTAACACCCGCCTCTTTGATTACCAGCTAAAGTAGAGGTTACTTTACTTATGTGCCTTTATGTGATTTATCTGCTAACTTGTATGAAAATTATGTGCCATGAAGTGTTTGATGTAAGTTTTGCATAACAGATATGGTAGTGTGAGAAAAGACCTGTCTAATTCGTTAAATTAAAGACCTGTATGAAAATTAGAAAGTTAACGATTAAACGTTGGACTAGGTGGTTAGAGCCTAATTCACATTAGCAAGACTAAGTTTGGGTTAAGCTAATTAGACTATAATGAGGAATGACTTGATTAATTGAATTGAATTGAATTTAGTTTAAGCTTAAAATTTGATTAAAAGAATATTGGGACTAGCTCATTAATTTAGTAACTCAAGTTAACAAAAGAGGAATAGATGAGTGTAGAGAGAGAGTTGGTGTATGTTGTAGAGAGACTTGGGAGAGTTCTAGAGGAAAAGGAAGAGAAATGAAGAGAACTCTAGGGTTCAAGGAGAATAAAGGGGAATTGAACAATTTTCATCTAATTTTCAATTTAAGGTAAGAAAGTTTCCCCTATAACTCATGAATTTAAGTTGTTCTCATCATCAAAGTGTGAAGAAATGGGTGTAAGTTATTGTTATAAACTCTAAAGGTAGAACTTGTAGGAATAACTCAAAATCTTCTCATACTAGTCATCTTTCATGATCACTCACTTGTTTCATGCATGATCTTTGAAGATGGAGAATAGAACTCCATGGATTTTGAGTTGGGAAGTGTATATTTGCTTAGTTGTTGATTTTTGGCCCTAAAGGCTAGAGTTTAATTTTGTTGTATAGCAAGTGAGCTTTGTTTTGAAATCATGGTTGAGATTGAAGTTAGAACTTGGTTATTTAACTTGTTTTTGTGAGTTTTGGGTTTTAATTTGCATGAATTTGAAATTAAATGTGCAAAAATGGAACTTCAAACTTAGAGCAGATTTTCGGCCTAAGCTTCAACCCAGACCGCTCGTGCGGCCTGGTCCACCACACGAGCGGCCAACTCTGTTTTGGATAAAGTTACATTTTGAAGTTCGCCCGCTCGTGTGGCCAAGGCCATGTGCGACTGGGGCCATCACACGTGTGGCCAACAAGGCCAGCCCGACTTGATTTTTCCTCTGTTTTCTTTGACTTCCGGGCCTTCAATTGCATGATTTTGTAACTGTTTCCATGTGCATGTGCATTGTATGAACAG